TGAAAGTTGCCGGGTAGTTGGACTTACAACCAAGTTCTTATAAACAAGGCTGCCTATGGATTTGAATTTCATTGTGTGTTTGTTAAGAGGATGTCAGTTGTTTAGGATTTGTTACTTGGAGAGTTTAATATGTTTGTGAAGTTGGATTGAGTTTGTAATTTTGACACTTACAAGCAGTTTGTTTTTAACTCTCAAATTTAAAAATGATTTGGATTTAAATTACTCTTGGTTTTTTTTATTAAATCAATTTTTTTAATCAAAATTAATTATTTTTTACTTAATTAATCTCGATTAATTACTTTAATTAATCTCGATTAATTACTTTAATTAATCTCGATTAATTAATTTAATTAATCTCGATTAATTAATTTAATTAATCAATTATAGTTGTAATTAAACAATTGATTATTTAAATTTGACTTTCTCCCCAATTGTTCTTAAAAAAAGTTTTATAATTTCCCAAAAAATTTCGGCAGCCTCCCAACGTCCCCTCCCCATCGAGAAAGAAACCGGGATGGCATCTACCGTAATTTCTTCCTACTCGAACCTAAGGTTAACGACGTAGGATCTTTGAATTTAAAACCATCCAACCAGGATTTGAGATCGACTGCGTGGGGCCTTTGAAAAAACTATCTTGATCGGACTTAAAGTCAACGACATGAGGTCTTTGACACCTGTTTAAAATTCTATCTTCTATTTTATCTGTTTAATATCATTTTTATTATATGTATATGTATAATATCATATAATATTATATATAATATAATATATATGATATCTATTGTATCATAAAAAGGGAGGGATGGAGTCTGATCGGGTCGGCTAAGGCACGCACAAATGGATGGAGAAGCAACTCGTGCAATCTCTGTGCCTTATGCGAATCGAGGTTGGACAGTAAGGAAGGAGCCGAAGAAGCGACTCGTGCGACTTCTACACCTCTTGCAAATCAACGAAGTCGAACAACGATGGGGAGCTGAAGATATGACGGGCAATCTCTGTGCCTCCTGCGAAGCAATGAAGACGAACAACAACGGGGGAGCCGAAGAAGCGAAGTTGAAGAGTGACAAGGAGCCGAAGAAGCGGGGCGTGTTATATTTCCCTCTCCTGCGAAGCAACGAAGTTGGACAGTAATCAAGAAGCCACGCGATCCCTTTCTCCTTTTTTTCTTTTTATAATGTTGAAGTTTTTTAGCAGCAAAAATTAATGCTAAGCATTGCTTTTCAATTGGTGAATATTTAGATTATGCCAATATTAATGTCAGTTGATATAATAAAGGACATTTTTTTTGCCATCTTAATTTATTTGTGCTAGCAGAGCTCCGAGTGATTCTTCAAGAGCGGCTGTATATAGAATTAGGGGCTTCACTAGGATAGGGGCAGCAAGGATCAAAAGATGTAGCAAATATTATTCTATGTTATCAAATGTCTCTTGATAAGCATCATCCCATATAAAAGGTGTATTTTTTCTTCATTAGACGTGCAGATGGTTGACATCTACCTGAAATGTTAGGTATAAAACTTTGAATGTACACTAACCTACCCTGAATTAAACGAAGTTGCTTTAAAGTTTTTTGAGGTGGCATTTCCATGATTGCTTTAATTTTAGATGGATCAATTTCAATTCTTCTATGACGTACAATAAATTTAAGAAATTTTTCGGATGTAACGCCGAAAGCACGCTTTAATAGATTCATTTTCAAATTGAATTTCTGAATTCTTTCGAATACAATCTTAAGATCATTTATATGCTCATGTTGAACTTTACTTTTTACAACCAAATCATGAACATAACATTCAACATGTTTATGAATTAGATCATCGAAAATTCGAGTCAATGCTCTTTGATAGGTAGCCCCAGCATTTTTCAAGCCAAATGCATCACCTTGTAGCAATATATGCCAATGGGTGTTCAGAATGAGGTATGATTTTCATCATCCGGATCCATTTTGATTTGATTATAGCCAGATGATTCATCCATGAATGAGAACATATCATGATTTGATATGTTATCGACCATAGTTTTTGCATTGGGCAGTGGAAAATCATCCTTTGGGCATGTTTTGTTCAAATCTCGGTAGTTTATACAGACACATATGTTATCATTCTTTTTCTTTATTGGAATGATATTGTCGATCCAATTAACATACTTCTCTTCTCGAATAAAACTAGCTTCAATAAGCTTCTTGATTTCAGCAATGACTTGTTCTGCAATTTTAAGTCGCATTTGCCTAGGTGCTTACTTAACATACAGTATTTTTGTATCGATTGAGAGTTTATGCACTGCCACCTCTGGTGATAAACCAGACATTCCAGTGTAATTCCATGCAAAACAATCTTTGTATTTGAGAAGTAACATTTTCAACTCCTCTGCTTTGTCCTGCAAGAAATTAACACTGAGGAATGTATGTTTGGGATCTTCATTAGTGTCCAAGTTTATTTCTTTGAGCTCATCCACAGTAGCTTGACCATATTCTTCGAACTCTTTTGGAGATTTTTTCAGATCCATAATTAGATCTTCTGCTTGATTTTCAGACTTTGACAGTCTCTTCTCCTTATCTGTAAATTTATAGGAGGTTGTGTATGTAAGACATGAATGTTGAGGATACTCAAGATAATGATAGGATGTTACTCGTGTAAGATATAAATGTCGAGCATATCCAAGACCCCATGTTGTAGACAAACCATTGCCAATAGGCTTTTGTGCTTGCTCGTTATGCCACAGTTTTCTGAAGTAACGAGCTTGCTTGCATGTTTGCACGAAGAAGGATATTCTTTCTATCAGCTTTCTCATAATGGGTGAAGGATACTGAGAAATGATTATCAACATATCTCCGTATTACCAATCATCTTCGCACTATATTTCATGAGTAATGTGATGCATTATTACTCTTGATTCCTAGAAAATGGATCCACATTCATTGAGACCTCTTTTAGGGGGGGGGGGCATAGAAATACTTCAAGATATACAATCCAAGGGCAAATGACTTGGAAGAGGTCTTTAACAAGACGTTGATGAAACTATTGAAGAAGATCCTCACCAAGAATAAAAGAGTAGCATACAAAAATGATGGAAGAATTATGGGGCATATCGTACTACTTACAAGATGCCGACCAAATCCACTCCCTACTCATTGGTGTTCGGGGTTGAAGCTATACTATCACTGAAAAATCAAGCTGCCATCACTCAGTGTAGTTATCCAATATAATCTGACTCAAAAGCAAAACGCTCGATTGAGAACGGAAGAACTCGACGCACTCTATGAAGTCAGAATACATGCTCAACAGAACCTGAAAATCTATTGGGTGAGGATGGCGAAATCATTTGATCGAATGGTGCATCATCGAATATTTCAAGAAGAGGGATTGTTCCTGGTGCTCAGAAGATCAATTATCTGGCACCAAAAAATAGGCAAAAAATTTGTGTATATCTGGGAAGATACATTCGTCATCGAAAATGTGTACCTAAAAGGAGCTTACTAATTGATCGACTTAGACGGTCAGAGGTTCATGCCGCCGATTAACGGTCGAAACTTGAAGAAGTATCATGAATAGGGATAAACATGTATTTAAAATGTTATTGTGTACTTTACATGTACCTACTAACACACGTACGCCATATGTTTTAAAATTCTCTGGTAATACAAGAATATATTTAAAAAAAAAATTTGGGAGCATTTTAAATATTTATTTGGGTCGACATTGTGCTGCATACCGAGATCCATGAATAAATATTTAAACCTATTTCATTTCAAAATATCCCTGCGAGGAAGAGGCATTTAAAATTTATTTAAGTCGACATCATGCCGTGTGCCAATATTCCCGAACAAATATTTTAACTCTGAAAGATTAAATCTATTTCATTTCGAAATCTCCTTGTTACACGGAAAATTTTAAATATTTATTTGTGTCGACATCGCGTGCGTACCGAAATCTCCGAATAAATATTTAAAATCATTAACTACGAACATCCATTCAAATCAGGATGCGACAATTTCTACAATCAATGCATATATGGAAGATTTTCTTGAAGTTCGGAACACCATCCTTCCAAAGTACCAAGATTTCAAAAGTCAAAATAGAGATCTTTGTGACTATATGCTCCAACAAATTGAGCCGAAAAAGCTTAAAGTTTTCCAACTGCTTGAAGCTTAAGGATCGAATGGGTGTAGAAGGCCGGATCCAACACGCCCAAATATGACCGGATCACTGGCGACTCCGTCAACTCAACATGTCAGAAGAAAAGTCGTAATAACGGAACCCCCACTTCGTCGACCCGTCAATAGAGACTGTGGGAATAACGAAGACTAATATGACTCGACGAGTTCTAGTAGTCGTAGTCCACAAGACTCTCATAATTAGTCGGAGAATCAGAGTTATAGTGGGAAGAAGTCCCGAGCAACTACCAAATGTGCATAGACTCTAAGTCTTCAACCCAAAAGACGACTTCAAATCTACCAACTTCAATAGATTCAACATCTGGAAGCGTATTTCCTATAGCTCAAGTCTAAAGCCTGAATGGGTGTAAGAGGACGGATCCAATGCGCTCAAATATGACCGAATCGCTGTCAGTTATGTTTGCTCAACACGCCATAAGAAATGTCGTAGTAGAGGAACCCCCCCCCCCAACCAATCTTAGCAACTAGAGGACGAAGAACTATCAAATCCTAGCTCTCATAATCTGATGAACTCAAGTGATTCAAATTGAAGTCTCCTTAACTGATTAAGGGTTGAGATACTACATGCATTTGTACTATCAATCGAATCCAAAGCCTGTAAATCTTTCGTCAAATCAGCTGCATAAAGCATTGGACAAAAAGAGCTAAAATTTCTAAGATTTATGCTGAAGCTACGACCACTAATTCCAACTAGTGGCTAAAGCGATACTGCTCACAACCACCCTCAAAGACAATGGACATTTTAAATATTTATTTGGATCGATATCGCACTGTGTCCAAATTGTCAAATAAATATTTAAAACCCCTTGTGGCACCAAAAACACAAGTTTAAAACACAACTCAAAATATAATACAGCTTAAAGTACAACACAACTCGAAGTACAACATAAACAACACAAAAGAAAAAAAATCCTCCAAATATGTAATAAAAATTATCATGAGTTACAAGTACACTGGGACTCAAGACACTACAAGAGTACAGACCACAAAAAGACGAGGACACGTCAAAAGAGACGAGCTTTTAAACCCTCCAACCTGTCAGTAACCTCGGCTAAAGTCTGAAACTCTGACTGGGCGGTTTGAAATTGCTCCATGGCTTGTGCTAGTAAAGAATCTGCCTCCATCATCTCTTGTTGTAAAGACCGATGACGCTGCTCCTCCATTCTAATGAGATGGTCCAGTCGGTCACGTTCCTCCCGTATGTGAAGCAACCGGGACATCTCCTGCCTGATGTCCCTAAAGAGATCCAGCATGTGAGTTGTCCGCCCGTCTAACTCCTGGGTCATGTCAGAAGAACTCTGACAGTGTCTCCTCAGAGCCTCTTCACTGTAGTCTAATCGATCGTGGATGTCGTCATCCCTTGCCTTGCGACTGGAAACAATCTCCTCCGACTGTGAAAGTGTAAACGGGGCCCGGGTGATCGAGAGAGATCTCCGTCGCCAAATGCAGAACTCTGCCTCGCGACACACCGCCTCCCAAATGAGTAGCTCAGTGATACTCGTCCCAAAATTGGCCATTAGGCTGGTGAGTCGGTCGACGTAAGAAGTAAACTTGATCCAAAATTCTGGAGATCTCGGGTCAACGCTGAAAACTAAATCCCTAAGAACCTCTACCAAGTGGCTGCATCTGTCAGTGGTCCTGGGGGTCAGAGGTAATGGAGCGTAGCAGTGGATCTTTGAAGTGTAGTCGAATCCCTCAAACACTGCACAAAGCGTTACAATCAATTAATATTATAACAAACATTATAATAATGCATTTGATCTATATGTACTTTTCCATATATAATAATAATTAAATCTCATATTTCTCCTATTATGTATCTTGTAACTAGGCCTGTTCTTCGTTATAATATATTTAAATCTATATGTACTATTTGCAAACTAAGATGGCATTTCAAGTGAACGAAGCTGCTAATGGAGGCAACCTTAATGATCAGAACCCGTGAACTCTTAGATCTTAATGGAGGCAACCTTAATGATTATATATATAAATAACAAGTGTAGCATGATTTGTGCTTGTTTCTTATAAACACTGGTTTACAGCATGATTTGTGTTCTGATGGCATCATCAACTGAAGTAATAGATTCATGTTTCAAAATAAAGGCGCAAAGTAAAGTAAAAGAAAGTAGAAGAAATGAAGGGGGGACAACCATCATAATATCAGTGCATAAAAACTGGAAATAAAATAACAATAAGCATTTGCAATATAAACCAAAGAATTAGTGCCTAGAAATAGAAATTATAGTATTTGTAACTTATCCTGAAAGATCACTTGGCTGAACTCTTAGGGAGTAATATCATGTATCTGGCTGTAGGAATTTACTTGGAATAGAATGAAAGGAAAATCATATATAGAAGGTCATACCATCTTGTAAAACAGACAGGTATTCAGATTCAGCCTTACGATCCTGCTCATAGGAAAAAAAAATCCATCAATAAGATGTCATACATTCACCAAAAAGAGCCATTCTGTCAAACAAGTGAACTTATATATGATGTAGATGCTGGTAAGTTGTGAAGGCTACTCAAGCATGAGAGGAATAGAAAAAAGGACATAAAGGGAGGAGGCAAATAATAAATTTCAGATAAAAGCACTCATTCATAATATGATTATATCGAACCCACTACATAGTCTAAAGCAATAAAGAATGTAGCAGCCACAAAAATTGGCATTATATAACTCATGTTTTTTGTCACTTCCAAGAGGAGACCTCTTTTATCTTTGCATCTAACTGCTTTAAACACAAAATATAAGTTACTTGTCAATCGACATTGGATGCATTACATGTCATATTTCACTAACTTACAGTTGTCCTGAATGTAAAACAAATGAGTTACTTTTTAGATTCTAATCCTAGGACGTATGTCTATACAAGCTAGTATAGGCAACTCGCAGGTACCAAAATGAGCCTTGCCAAAAGAAACACTTGATCGAGCAAATTAGAGAATTGTAGGCACGTGCCCTGAAAAAGCTGGCATTATACGAGCTCACCCTCGATAAGTTTGACCAACAAGGCACATATCCAAGCGACTTTGACCAAGGAACTCGTCTCAACAGTCCTTCACTGGAAGAAGCATTCACCCTATGAGAACCCACTATTTCAATAGTTCCCTTGATCAAGCCAACTGTTTTCTATAGATATCCCCGTCCAAATAACAAGAGGCACACACCTACAGAGCTCACAACTATGTTCATCCCTAACTCACAACCATCCACATGAAACACTCGCATAGGAGACTCATTGCTCTGCCATAATTGGTATTGCTTTTCTCAACTATGATGGCTCTTTCAAATGGCTTCGCAAGGCTCGCTTGCACCAAAGATATGAATTTTTTTATGATCGTTATATTCCAACGCCATCCCAACGAACTCCTGTCTCTATCAGCGAGGTTTAAGTAACAATAAATCATGTCCATTGGGGTGCAATTGGATGAAAATTTTGACCATATTACTGTCCAGTGCCCTAAGCTGGCTGAAATTTTCAAAGTTCTTAACTCTTGGAGATTTGCTATCCCCACATTCACCTCCTTCTTCGAGTTCAACCGATTTCTCAAATATAGGTCCACCCTAAACCCAATGGTACCTTACCTCTACTGCTGTGTAGTCTATCAACTATGGCGAGCCTATAATAATAAAAAAAACAAAACATGATAGGTCATTTGAGACCCAAGCATTCCTGCAACTACCTTTCTTGGATCTTCGGCAGCAGCTCGCCACCATCCGATGTTGGCACAGTGGAACACCAACTAGCTTCTAGTATTGTCCAATATCAATTATTGGTGTCCACACCAAAATCAAGGTTAGTGTGGATGGTGTGCTTATCCCTACCGATCGTGCCGACCTTGGCATGGTTGTTTGGAATGCTAGAGGTGAATTCATTATAGCTGCAGGCAAACAATTGGATCATTGAGATAGCACACAAATGGAAATTGAAGCAGTGTTATTTCCTTCATCTGCCTAGCAATTTTTAGTACAAGAGATGTTTATGGTCTCTTAAGTCTTCTCTTCTTATTATGTACACTAGAGTTCATAAATTGAGTCACGACTGAATCATCAAAGTTCAAGTATATCATTTAAAATATTTGCTTAACAAAATAAAGTAGTCTAAAAACAACAAGACTTATGCTATTGTGTGAATGTCCACAAACAAAAACAATGGAAACATACAAAAGCATCACTCGAATTAGTTCAACTTATATATGCAGCATATGTGGGTCTAACAGGAATTAAAATGGCTAAAAACACTGGAATATAATTAGTTTAATTGTTTTATAGCAACTACCACAGCTTCAGCACGTAGACGCAGTCTTTCAGCTTTCCTTTGTTCTCTCTCTTTCTTCAATCTCTCATATTTTTTGTGATGCTCTTCAATTTTTTGTAAGTTAGGCTCAACCTGAAGAATAAAAAATTCAAAATACTCAAGTCCCTATACTCTAGTATTTATATCTGAGAAACCATTAATGTTCAAAGTTTTTTGCTTTTTAATTTCCCTTTCGTTCTGAGAATTGATTACTACCATTTTTAGCACTGAATGGATCTCCTCATCATGATCCAGTTTTGAAGCAGTATGTAGATCAAATGCAGCCTCCTCCCACTTTCCCAATAGAGCTTTCGCCATACCTCGAGATTTATATCCTTTTGCTGAATCCGAATTTATCTAAAAGCAGTTCGATGAAAATGATATCAAAAGACTAAGAAACGACAACTACCAACATTCAGCAATAAAATGAACATGATAAAAGCTAAAAATAACTAAGACCTCTTTTGGGACGGCTTTTTTATTGCTTCTTAAAACGACTTTTTAGTATAAAAATTAAAACTTTTGTACTAAAAAACTGTTTTAAGAAGTAGCAAGAAAGCCGCTCCAAACGAAGTCTAGATTAACCTGCAAGGCTGCATCAGCATCTCGAATGGCAGCATTCGGTTTGCGCATCTTCACAAAAACACTAGCTGAAAATAATGAGGTGTGTCACAATATGTTAGTTGCTCAACATAAGTAGGATGATGCCTTAGCAAAGATGTTCCACAACTTTACCTCTAGTTGCATATAGAATAGCTGATGTGGGATTAAGTGTAATAGCTTCTGTTATATAATCAATTGCATCTTCAAATTTACCTAAAATACATCAAATTCAATCTATAAACTTCAAAGTATATGACTTTATTAAGTTTTCCTATCAAGAGAAATATAGAACAGACCCTCAGATATTGCATCCACAGCTTTTGCTTTGGACATTTGTGCCGCATCACGGTTCTCTTCAGTAACTTCAACTGAGGGATCTCCCATCTATAAAAAAATTCAGGACAGTTAAATTGGTCTTTTCTTGTTAAAGAATGTGTCTTTTACAAAAAGTAAACAAGGAAACCTTTTGTGGGGAATCATCATCAGGTTCCACAACTTCTCCTTCCAACTCGATATCCGATTCAACAATTTCATCCTCATCATCATCGTCTTCAGTCTTTTGTTTAGGCTTATTACCATCACCAAATTCAGTACTTGGCATGCCACCACTTTCTTGTTTCACATGGCTTTTCTGCAAGGTTCATAAAGAAATTGCACATCATAATAATTCATAATATACTGCTTTGCCAAAATAAGAACAATTTCAGGATATTCACTTTAACAGCAAGATGATGGAAGGAAGAACAAGAAAACTCCAGTAGTGCAGTTTCAAAAAGGCTTGGAAACTGACCCAATTCAACACCTTCGTAGCATAGCTTGACCCATTTCAGATGACGGAACTATGAAAAACTTTACTTGTGCAGCCTAATTTGGTTGAATAATCAACCAAGTCGTGCTGCAACAACTACTTTTTATGTGTCTTACAAAGGAAGCATGATACAAGCAACAAGTCACCCAAAAGCCATCTAATAGCCAACAATGGTCGACCTTAAAGAACACAAATAGTCAATTTATTACACCTACAACATCAGCATTGAGGTATCCATGCTAATAAACTATGTGCCCAACTAGGAAAACCTCCGACGAACTGATAATTTACAATATTAAATTATGCAGTGTAAGATATATGCAAGACATTACACGCGCATGAAATGTCCCAAACATGCCACCGATGAATATTATTAAAAAAAATTATAAATCAATTTGTATTGCATCAGCTCGATTTTTTTAAGTATCTCATAGCAGAAGAAATTGCATATGCAAGAAGTCACCCAAAAGTTATCTGATAATAAATAATAATCAATTGCCAAACGTAAAGAATATATCTAATCAAATTTATTGCAACAACAACATCAACATTGAGGTTTCAATGATAATAAATAATGCATCAAACTAGCAAAACTTATGATGCACCGACACTTTAAAATATCAAAGTACGCAGTGTCTGCACATCCAGGGTAAGGCAAACACCTAAAACACTTCATGCATGTGTCAAACACACTATCAGCTTGTCCAATAAAAAATAAATAATACATACATCGAAGATGTGTGCCATATGTTAAGTGAAATAATGATGATGGAATGCAAAGCTATGAAAGAGCATAGACTAATAAAAGACTTTTACTTCTAAAATATAAAATTCAAATATGCTTTAAATAATATATATATTCAACATATGTTAGCGTTTAATTCTTCCAATATAATTGTCTCACATCCATATCTGTGCATCATAAAGAAACACCTAAAAGAAAGAAAATAACATCTAGTAATAAGAAGTTTAAACACCCATTTATCATCCAAGAATGTAAAAAAAAATTGAACTTGAGTGCAATTTAACAATAAAAAGGAAATCAAATTATCCTAATAGCATGGATGAAGAGCTCACATACAAAAACACACGCAAGCATTTCCACTTTTCAATCTTAAGAATCATTCTTTCTTAAGAAAAGAATTATTCTTATTAACGAAGAAAAAGCAAATTCACCTCTAGAAACGTGTCCACAAACAGTGTTCACTCTCTGCCATTCAAGACAGATAGAAACATGAGAGGATAACCTCAAGATAGTCATATCTTTCCCTAAAAAGATACCATATGGTATTCCATGTTCCTCAAGATGAGTTATTTCAAGGTGGCCCAAGCAATCTAACAGCACTTAAGTAACAGAGATCATGTTTGACACTTCATTTTTACACAATATGTTTCTAGACTTTGCTGGAGTCGATGGAGCTTTTTCAAGTGTAGCAAAATCTAGTCCAGCACAGCACAAAAAATCTTGATCCAGCCGTGTTTTCAAGTGGCAGCTTGCTGCAATTCCTAAAGGCGTACTTTAGTAGAAAACGACCAGATCCCAATTTCTTCCTTCTTTCTAGAACTTCATAATCGATAAATTAGCAGTGTCCTTAAAAGATTTTTTTTTTCCGGATATCTTTCAGTGACTAGGGATTACTTGTTCTACCTTTCAAATTTCTATCAAATAAAAAAACGTCACATGGAGAAACTAACAAAACCATTCATCAAAATGTAAGAGAAAAAAAAAAAAAAAACTTCAGAGAACAGAAAGAAACTGCCATGGTGAACAAAATTAAAGAGAAGGGAGAGAGAATCTCTAACCGAAGCTGAACTGGCAGGAATCTGCACGCCAAGACTGAGAACCAAAAAAAAGAATATTTAGCCATAATCCAAGTTCTCCAGGGTAACCAACAGTAGAATCGCGTTAAAGGTAAAGAAAAAAAGCGGAGAAAGAACACCTTTCGAGATAGTCTCGGAAAAACCCTAGCGAAGGATCGTGTAGAACAGACGGGTCTGATTTGCAGTGGCCGACGAAAGCCCTCAGCTGCGCCACCTTTGCTGCGTCCATCTCTGTCTCTGTCTCTCTCTCTCTCTCTCTCTCTCTCTCTCTCTCTCCACGCGAAGGTTTCTTTTTAGTTTTACAGCTGAAAGTTCCGTGAGAGGCTTCTCGGGATTTACATCAATGCCACTGAAAATTTTATCATTTACAAACTTAACACTAAATTTTATTACTTATTTATATAACATTTAAAATTTTAAATAACAAAAATATTATTTATTATACATATAATTAGGAAAGTATATATATTATTATATTATTTTTTTTGGAGAAGTATGTTTAAAAGTTAAATTTAGATGAAATTATCCCGATAAAAAATAACACATTCTATTCACATATTATTTTTTGAAGTCAAAAGAACATGAGATTGATTCAAACATATTTAAATTGAAACCTAGTTCAACTTCATATTTGAGCTTGGTTTGAACACAAATTTAACTATACTGACCTTACTCTTTCATGCGTAAACGATCTTGTAGCGAGCTCCTATCACTAACCACATTCCTTCAGATACCTCTAGTCCCATTTATGCCTTCCTCATACGAATTGCCATCACAAACCCCTCTTCCCTTCACTTGCCATTGATCAATCAATTGCCTTCTCCCAACAATCTCTCACACGAATACAGAGCTGTGGATGCATGACATTCGAACATTTTGGTTCGATTCTTGGTTCAAACCCAAATAAATACCTGTCATCTGATTGGAACTTAGTTCAAACCTAACTTCTAAACGAATTCTAACTAGGTTTGTATATTGTTCGAATTTTGACTTGAAGTTGTAAACTAGCTTTGAATCGAAATATGTTCAAATCAATTTTATACGCTTCAACTTTAAAAGGAAGTCCATAAATATAAGAGTAATAGAAAGTCATTGTGGTTAATTTCACATTAAAGATACATTCATATAAATTTCTCTAAAAAAACAAACAATAATATTTCTTCAATTACTTGCCTTATGAGTAATATAATGTTAAATTCTCAAAGAATAAATTACTATATTTCTTTTATTACTTAATGGGATTGTAGAGATTGCAATCCAAGAATGTGATTTTGAAGTTGGAAAATTGCAATCCATAAATAATTAAGCTAAAAACATTAATGTGGCATATTTTTCTATGATTTCACAAACATATAATGATACATCTCATATTTAATTGATAAATTTATATTAATAGAATTCTTGATTGTGGATATTATTTCACATATTCAATGAAAAATATTCTCCACGACTCAGGATTGTGAGGAGGTTTTTAGGAATGTCTATATTAATAATGGAGTGGGTGCATATAAAAATATATAAACATGAATTATAATATTTTTCATATCATATATAACATTGCCGTTGTCAGGTCCCAAGTCCTAGATGAGAAAAGTGGAGGGTTGTGTTAGGTAGTCGACAGCTAGCGTAAAATTTGTCGAATAATAATGATATGAATCCTTTAAGAAATTGTGTTAATGCTAGGGCATCCTCTGGAAGCGACGCGCTGTATGGCCTGAATACAGTGACAAGTGTGCAAGGGCCGCTGTACCGGCGCTCGGGTGCAGTGTTAAATAGGTAAGGGTTCCCACATCACGAACGGATGTGGGCAAAGAAGCTAGTCCATGAAACTAAAATTAGGATATGAACTTGGAATATAGGTTCCCTTTAAGAAAAATTAATGGAATTAATATATATTATGATTAATAGGAAGATAAATATTTTGTGCATTCAGTAAATTAAATGGGTTGGAGAGAAGGCTAAGGAAATTGATAGTTTAGGATTTAAACTTTTGTATTCTAGTAGGAGTCGTACTAGAAATGGTGTAGGGATTATTATAGATAAGAGTTTGAAAGATAATGTTACAAAAATTAATAGGATTAGAGATAGAATTATAGCTTTAAATATTATTGTTTATGATAAGATTGTTAATATTATAAGTGCTTATGCCCCTCAAGTAGGCTTAGATATGAGTTCTAAATTAAATTTTTGGAATGACTTAGAAGAATTATTACAAAAGATACCTCTTGAAGAAAAACTTTTTATTTGAGAAGATTTAAATGGACATGTTGGTAAAGAGGTAGATGATTTTAAAAGCATTCATGGTGGTCATGATTTTGGAACGACAAATGAAGGTGGCAAGATCAGATTAGATTTTTATTTAGCTTATGATTTTTCAATTGTTAATATCTTATTTAAGAAAAAGAATGAGCATCTCATCACTTATAAAAATGGATATAGTACAACCCAGATTGACTATTTTTTTATAAGAAAATATGACCGTTTAGATTACAAAGATTATAAAGTTATTATGAGTGAAAATTTAAGTACCCAACATCGATTATTAGTTTTGAACTTAAAGATACACATAAAATAAAAAATAAAGTAAAATGATATTATATGATTAGATGAGGGCATTTAAAGAATATTAACAAAAATATTTTTGAGAGTAAGATTTTAGATCTTAAGATTTTATCTGTGCATGAGGATGCTAATGTTATGTGAAAAAAAGTGACTAGTGATATTGAGAATATTACAAAAGATTGGCTTGGGGTTTCAAAAGGGAAAATTCCTAATA